CACCTTCTTTAAGTCCCATTATAAACATATTCATTGACAAGGTTTGTGCATTTGGTGAAGAATAATAAAGTGAGATTTTTTGTTCTATATAACCATGTACTACGAAATTTGCAAGCATATAACCAGCCAATTCCAAATTTTAGTTTTCAACTACTTTTATCTTCCAACTCAGGTAAGCTTGACTCCCAAATTTTTTTTGATTTACAAAATCATTCATTTCTTCAACAATATTTTCATAAGTATGCTGTTCTTTAATCTGATAAATTTTATCTCAATTCCAAAGATAATAGCGATTAATTATTAGACTTCAGCATTCATATTAGTTTCTGCAAAATAAAAGGACTTTGTGAATTTTGTGTACGCTAAAGTCAAGGTAATGTTTTTGTTCACATTCTTGATCAGTCATATTTTAAATATTAAAACAACTAATATTTAAATATATAATTAATAAAATTAATAAGATTTTTAATTTTCTTTGTACAAGTTGATTATTTTTTATTCAAATAAAATAAATAATTTTTTATACAACTTTGATTTTTTAATTTAAAATAAATAAAGTTCAATAAAATTTATTTGAATAACTCACATTTCTTGATTTTTAGCTAAAATTCCAAAGGTTGTTCTTAAATCTTTTTTATTGAATAAAATATAAAACTTTTAGCTTCATTACCATCACATTTCGCTCATCTAATTTCCTGTATCAAATTTGCTATATATAAAAAAAATTGTTAAGTAAATGATAATATTAATATAATTACTTACTCATATTTAAAGAAGCTATGCAATGTATTACTAGAAATATCAGAAGAATTAATACCCATATCAAATGCATTTGTTCCAATCATTATTTGAATTTTACCATCTTTCCAATACAATATGATAATCCGATGCTGCTCATCTGATAATAGTGGTTGCAATATTGCAAAAAGATCATCACACCCTGATTGCATTGCGCAATAAAACAAATATTCTTTCTCTTTTATACTCTATAATTAAACTTATAAGATTATTTGAAAAGATTTCATGATTATTTTTTCTTTTATAAACTTCTAGTTATTTCTTTGCATTCAAAAAAAGAATTCTAAGTATCATTATATATACATATAGCAGTTAAAAGAATAATAGGAACCATGGGCCAATTTTTTTAAATTTTTTCATGATTTTCTATTAAAAAATAAATACAATTACTACTAGAATTAAGCAATATTTTTTTTAAGTAACTTACTTAAAATTACCATAATCTAAAATACAATGAGCTTCATCAATCACAATGTGAACTTTTGCTTTATTATACATATTACTAATAAAATTTGAAATTTTCGATTTAGACAGTTTCTCAGGAGTGATAAATAATATTTTTGTAAAACTAAGAGCAATTTTTTCAAATATTTTTTCTTGTTCACTTCTGCCTTGTATTGTGTTTGCATAAATTGAAGCACATGGTATTAATTCTCGCTATTGAAATTAATAAAATGTAAGTAATGATTCAATAACTTGCAACTGATAAACAATTACTTACTTTTTGATCTTCTATCAAAGCTTTTAATGGAATAATAACTATAGTTATTCCTTCAAAAATCAGCACACAAATTATATAACATAATGTCTTTTCTCCTCCTGTTTTGATTGATACAAGTGTAACTTTACCACTTAAATATGCCTATATAGCTTCAAGTTAAGAAGCGAAAAGTGCTCCATTAGAATCACTTTCAGAAGAACGAATGAAATTATGCAGAATTTTAGCCTGATATCCTTCCAAATAAGTATATAACATCAATAAAACGGGTTTCTTTTACCAAATGCCTTCTAATCAAATGCTATCATCAAGTCCTATTTTTGGT